GATCAAGGGTTGATGGCTCAAGTTACTAGGGATGACCAAGATATTCATAACACATCAACAGAAGCTTGCTATTTGTACATGTTTATTATTTTTCTGCGCAAAATTTGGCCCATTAGGATCTCATGCCACCACTGCCTCCACCAGGACGGAAACTCTGTGTAGCATTGATTGGCTGAGTGACTTGAAGATTAGAAATGTTGCCAAAGTCCTATAATGAAAAAGTGCATCTTCTATTATTGGAAATTATTATTACCCACACTGAATGCAAAACTAGTGATTCCTGAATTGCACCTGGAGAAATGAGTTAACCAAGCTCAATCAAACACTACTATGAATTATGAAATAGAAGTGTTTCAGAAACATAACAAATAAAATAACGTGATTTGAGTAAAATCTAATCCTAAACTTTACACTTCAAAGAATGAACGATAATTTACAGTAATTCTCTAAAAGGGTGAACACCCAATCACACATACAGGAAATAACGGCAAACAATTGCAAGCTAGGGAACTGTTCAGTATTGTTTGGATACAACAACAGTGGAGAGAATTGGCTTTCTTATTGAAGCTTGGCGAGTTAGGTGAAGAATAGAAATGCCAGAGCTTGTTACTGGCTTTATCCTAAGGGAATTCTTTTACAGTAGGATGGTTAACGTGCACCTAAACCCAAAAATTTCTTTTCGCTTAACGAAATAAGCTTATTTTTTGGAGTATTTCTGTGCAAAAATTTTTTAATTTGGTTAAATCTTAAATTTTCTGTGCCTAGTCAAAATACGGAAAATCGGCCGCCATCTTGCCCCACGACCGAGTTTAAAGAGGAATGGCTCTAGCGGATAATGTGACGTCAAATCGAGAACACGAAAGTCTGCTTTTCACACATTTTCACTTGTTTGGGAAGGTTGTGGTCGATATTGTCCGAAATATGCCGACCAGGTGTGTTGTATGAGGAATGTATGAAGCGTGATACCCTCTTGCAAATTTCGCACGTTGCTACATCCTCCTACAACACACTTAGTCGGCATATTTTCGGACAAAATCGACTACAACCTTCCCAAACAAGCGAAAATGTGTGAAATGCAGACTTTCGTGTTCTCGATTTGACGTCACATTACCTGCTAGAGCCATTCCTCTTTAAACTCGGCCGTGGGGCAAGATGGCAGCCGATTTTCTGTATTTTGACTGGGCACAGACAATTGAAGATTTGAGCAAATAAAAAAATGTTTGCACAGAAATACTCCAAAAAATACGCTTATTTCGTTAAGCGAAAAAAAATTTTTGGGTCTAGGTGCACTTTAATAAAACAACAACAACAAAAAAATTAATTTGTGCCAGAGAACATAAACTGTATTACTATCATATCACTTTGAAGGGCACTGAGGAAATAAGAACACAAGACAAAAGACAACAGGACAGTCTGAACAATCCTGTGGATGTGCCAATGGGCTTAACTACATTTTTGCACGCCAAAATCTCCATTTTAGCCATCAAAATGCACCACAATGCTCAACAAAGTGATAATAATAGAAGTGTTTGAGCATTTGTTGTGTTGATGTTGCACTTACCAATACTTTCAACATTTCTTTGGTATCTGGGTCAACTTCAATGATATCTTGCTCAATAGCAGACACCTAACACAGGTGAAAAACCAATGAGTAAGACTTAAGATTCATTACAAACAGTACCACAAAACAAACATGTCTAGCAAAAATTGGCTCACCCTGTAAAGAAAGGAACCCAGCCCAGAAAGCATATACCCCTCTTTTATCAATCAAATATAATGCAAGTTAGCATACACGTTCTGTTGAAACGAGACTAAATTCCTTTCACACATGCAAACACATACAGAGAGAGAGAGAGAGAGAGAGAGAGAGAGAGAGAGAACAACATTTGGATGTTGTCCTCAATTTGTGCTGAGAAAAATGTCCATTCTAGAACTCTACTAGCTAAATTTTCTCATAAGTATACCTTATCATTAGCTACATGAAGACTGTTAGTTTAAAATTTCTCTCACCTCAGGAACATAATTGTCCCTTCGTTCACGTTCTTCCTCTTGCAGTTTGATAGAAATACCACGAACAGGGCCCTTCTGAATACGCTTCATGAGATGGGTGACAAATCTGTCCCAAAACAAACAGAAGAGTCACAAAAGGTAATGGAACAGTCACTCTTACTTCTGGTACAGTTGTAAAAGAGATAGTTCATTACAATTTTAAAAAAGCAGATAATCTACATCAAAATCAATGTTATGAAAGGTAAAATCAAATTTAATAATTCCAATAAACATGAGGACCCCTACAAGAAAATTTCTTTGACAAATCATATTATGCATATCCAAATAATTTTCTACCAGAAAATGGCAGCGAAAAACAAACCAAAATACAGTGCTCAAAACTTCAGAATTAAAGTAATCACATGGCACAATTGAATAAAACAAGAACTCTTAAGTTCAGAGCAAAATCATAATTGTGTCTACATCACTGTCAGTCAATAAAGTAGCAGACACAACAAAGCCTAAACAAGAAAAAAAGAGGCAATCATCTACAAGAAATTAACTTTTTTTCAAGGAGCAAATTGGCTCCTAAATTTTCCAAAGTGGTTGCCAAGGCCAAAAAGTTAGGAGCCATTTATTTTTTTCAAAGCCTGTGACAATTCTAAAACCTCGTCCTCAGTCATGGTTGTACATGCAGTCAGTATTTAAAATAAATCTTCCTGATCACTGTCTATGTTGCTGCTCATTTGAAATTTAGATCACTCCATAAATAAAGCCAATTCAGAGCAAGTGGAAGATGTAGCCATGGTCAGAAAAGTATGGAATGCTGTGAGCCTGCAATACATATTGTTAGCAAAAGAGACATTTCATTTCACAATTTTTCAACGTAACATTTGGAAAATCCAAGATGGCGGATGTTGACATGTTTGTTTTGCAACATTTGTGACGATTTTGCTTAACAGGCCTCATTGTTCATACCGATTCATCTACCTTAAAGCTTTACTTTGTTGCAATATACATCAAGGTAAGATATACAAGACCCAAAGAGTGCTGGTCAGCAACTTAGCAACTAATATTTGAATCTTGGTCACCAGCATGGTAACCTTAATTGCATTGGCAACTGTATTAGGCACAATTTTGTGCCCTGACAGATATCCCAAGTAGAACTACAATTTGAGTCCTATGAAATGATGCATGTTTTCCTTGAGAGTTTTGTAACATGACAGACAGAAATGTGGAATGCATCTTGCAGAATGCTTCTTAGACTCCATACTGTAATAAACACATTCTTACCCAGCAATTTTGTTCTTAAGCTTCTTGCTTGGAATGATTGCAATGTCATCGCACACACGCTTGTTGGTGTGGAAATCAAGAGTCAGACGTGGATAATATTTTTCGATAATGACCCTTGCGGCCTTTTTCACAGTCTTGGTCCTTACTCGGCCCTGTGAGTAGGACAAAACACATTGTTAACACAAAGCTTGAATTTCACGCGGAGTGACATGGATCTATCAGGAAAAATCATTATGCTACAGCTATAAATGCAATTGTGTGCCACTGAAACTACTTTTTCTTCTCAAATAGTTATTAAAATAATTACCTGATTACATTTTATATGAACAAAAAGAACTAGTTGGATGTCGAACTACAATTTAACTTAGCTTCCATGGGATGTAATGGATAGATTTGATTTCACTACCTGCCATTTGTTTGGAGTCAATGCCCGGTTCACCAGATCGACAAAACTTCAGCAACTAGAAAATCATTCAATCCGGAACTTTCAAGATAAGCTCCGATGCTTTAAGGGAAAGTTAAGAAATCCGACAAATGCAATGCAAATACATAAAATCTGCAACCCTCTTACAAAGAGAGTGCTCTAGGATAAGGCGTACGAAAAAAATCGAATATAAAACTGACCTTGAAGAAAAAGTTTGTGATTTGACAAGATAGAGATTTCAAAAACAGTCACCCTACTCAACATAGATAATGAATTAAATTACACCAACGACACCTAAATTTGCAGTAGCATATGAAAAATGGTGTTCCTCGAATACTTGGCTCCGTGTTATCTTAGGTTTGCCAAGCGCAATACAACTTAAATCACATGCACATAGTGCCCATGGCTAAGAAAATTAACCAGGCAGAGAGAGTGATTACACATCTTTAAAATAGTTATTCACTCGAAACGATAGAGGGAAGTTCAACAACGATGACTCTGGATTGTTATCAAAAGTTCGGAAACCCACCATTTTTAATCGAGGAGAAGGAGAGAGAAAGATACAGAAATGCTTTGCGAGTTTGGCGCATTTCTAGACCGCTGACCTCACGTCCTAAATTCGCGGACTCTGTTTAATTTTAGTCGAATTCTAGGGGCGCTTTTCATTTGACCAAATTTTTCGAGATTTCTGGTCTGAAATCGAATGGAACGGGAAAAGTTCCGGGATAAGTTTTCGAAAATTTAGGAATACGTTTTGAGTGTGCCCTCTTGGATACGGTCGGACGCGTTCCATTCGGCCAGCGAACATACCCGACATTTTGAACCCGTGATTTCTGTTGAATGGAAAGCGCCCTAGGCCAAGGTTCCACCGAAAACACAAAGAAATTGTGAATATTTTCGTCTTTTTTTAGTATCTACTCGACGAGATAACTTACAAGTTTGCCTCAAAAGGAAAACACCAAAAGGTAAGTGTATCTTGTCAAGGGCCTATTTGTACAACTAGAAAATTAATCCAGATCAACAAGGTCTACAACGTTTGTTCAAACACATGCATCCTTTTAATCGGATCCTGAGTCATTTTTGAAACATCTTGATGAAGACGCGCATTACAAAGAAGTAAAAACGAACTCGGTCTGCTAAGTCCAGTGATCGTGATATCAAACTTTCACATTTGCCCTTTGCTTCTCGGCCAATTATACATTTTGCAGACAATATCTCGGCTGCAGACATTATCTGCTCATATACCAGCCGCCCGAAGGGGTTTATTTACTGAATATCAAGACAACGACGAGCGAAAATATCCCACCATTTATTCCAACATTTATACACTCACATGATAGCATCGTATCACGAAATTTAGCTCACATACTTTTAGCATCTTTCTCTTGTAAATGACCTTTATTTCCAAGTGATTCATATAGCTGCAGTCTTTTTTTTTTCATACATTTATTCAAAAAGTTCGATAATACCACACATTCATACAATTATCAATCACCCTCGCGCATTCTGCAATCAGGACCAATCACAGAGAAAAAAAGTAAAGAATACAATACAGTCTAGGTTCGCGTTCAACACTCTATTTGTGAAACCTGCGGAATTGATTCTCGCCTCCATATATACACCTTAGTTTTGTTGATTTTAACGCGGGGAATTTCGGATACACGATTCTTTTGAGGAAGAATTATCAATACTGTGCACTTAATCTTCTTCCTGATAATTTTCCTCATTTGTAAATTACTATTTACTTTTAAAGTTCAAGGAACTAAAGGAGTCTAGTCAAGGTTGACATGTTTTAGCCGACAGTCCTTTCCAATCATTGCAAACTCGAGGTTTCATATAGCATTTCAGTCTCCAAGTACCACCACATTGTTTGTTAGCTCAGGTCACTGTGGAGACAGAGGTTCGTTGTCCTTGACGTTTCCGAGTGTTCATACACAATTTATGAAGGTAAGAGGCAACATTACCCCATTGACAAGGCAAGAAAACAATCACTCGGTGAAATTTCATTCCCAGTGTTACTCCCAAAGAGCTGCGTAGTTACCATAATAGACCAGAGAGAGTGGCCCTCCGGCCGCGAATAGCTTCGTACCTGTTGGATCGTAACAGTGCGTGTAGATGGCGTTGCTCCGACAGACAAGTGCATGTTCCAACACATAATCATCCTGAAACTCTTCCCGCTAAGAACCGAAAAATAAAACAAAATTAGGTATGAGGAATATCCACGCTTCCAGTCGACTTACGACACTTTGGCCCTATTTCGGACACTCTCGTTGGATTTTTGCACTCTTCCGCTCGATTGCAGACACTTCAGTCAGATTCTGCACACATATAAGAACGTTTCCGTTCAGACGCTTCCTGCCGATTTCGGATACTTCCATCAAATTAAGGAAGATCCCGTGTTATTTACAGCACACGTTAGCCTAATATTGGACGGTCCGGTCCGGTCCGGTCCGGTCCGATCTCAAACGCTTCAATCGGATTTCGAACAGTTTTAACCCGTTTCTGATGTTTTTGCCGGACCCAGCCAGTCAACTTAGACTCACAACCTGTCTGTTCGTTTTCCTACCTCTACCAACCTGAGTGCGTTTGTTTTTCTGTGTCTGTGCTCAGCCTAAGACGGTTTGCTATAAATTTAAGCCTCTTTTAACTTTAAGCAGGCAACAGTCAGAACAATCTCAACTCATTTCTTACCAGCCAGCCTTTTCCTGATCTAAAACAGATCATTGTGCTCTCTGTGTTTCTTAGGAATTTAGAAGCTCTCATATCGAAGAAAAATAGAGACCCACATCCGGTACCAACAGTCAGCAATAGATCTCGGAAACTCAACGAACGTACACCTACAAAAGAAAGTCGTGTTTTATCAAAAATTTGAAACGACCAAAGTATTTTTTATCAATCTCACCGTGTTTGGACAAGGTAAACAACAAAAGTACAGCGCAGTCAAAAGCAAGCCAAAGCAGCAATATTATTTAATTCCAGTGCTTCGAGACTCAATCACCTTGACTTAGCAGCCTGCAAAATACGCAGGTTTTCAGCGTCCCTATCTAACTCAAATTTCCTTTCCCACCCCTCCGCCGGCTCACCCGCTCCTGGGTCACGTGACCCTATGTATCCTACAGCAGTGCCACACCTTGGATCATAAAAGGAAACATGTGACTGTGAACCAACTGCAAATAAATTGTTGTCTTTCTCCAGTGCAAGACATACTGTTTCCATAGGATACTTCAGGGAGAAAGTACTTCTCTAAAAAATAAGAGAGGATATCTTAAGTTATTGCATGGAAAATACCTGCTCAGACAAAGGTAAAAGAAAAATGAGCTCTAAGAACTCTGATGGAGAACATCACTCTAAAAGACTGTCATCATATGAAATGAATTGGTGCTATTACAAAAAGAACCTACCACTTGACAGTTTTTCATGTCCCAGAGATGTACATAGCCACGCGAAGATAATGAAATAAGAGTCTAAATAAATAAAACAAATGAGTACCGGTAATTATCTATCACTGATCAATGGCAATGATTGCTTAGGATTAAAGGTTCCCAGACCACTGTCTATGCATAATATCAGTAGCCCCAATTTTCCTAATGGGATGGGATAGTAGAAAAAATTGTTGGCCATTTATACCCCTGGTTAGAGAAGGCAAAACAGTCAAACTTGTATTTTAATACAGGTTCACTTAAAAGGGGTTACCTAGGAGGAATGGCAGGGTGACTGCTAAATACAAGTTGACCACTTAAGACAGGTTGACTAACAAATGACTTGCATGATCTGTGTGTATAATAGTTGTCCTAACAGTCCAAAGATGGAAGACAGTCTGCAATGCCGCGGCATTGAGGACATGATTTGAACACAAAGTACAAACATCGATTCTGGGAGATTAACACAGAATAAACTATACTTGAGAGTTTAATCTTAATAGTATTTGAGTGGTCCTGGCTCAGGTGACCATTCAATACAGGCGGAAGACAATACTAACAGGCACTTGGGACTCAGTCAAGGGTGACCACAACTGCTTAATAGAGGTGACCCTTTAATAGAGATCCAAATTACAGTACTTAAGGGGGAAAATTTGGGGGACTAACCCTTCCACTCCCATAATTGACCAAGACAGATTTTCTCCTCACAATTTCAATGGAAAATCAAGCAGACAAGTGTTGAGAATCAAGAAAAATATCAGTTAGGGATTATTAGTTGATCCATACCAAATTCTCCAAACTAGTATTATAAGAATTGTACAACAGGCAGTAAGGAGAATTTCTAGAATGAGATCTTGGGAGTGAAACGATTAACAACCAACCACTTAATACATGGTGACCTCTTATACTGACCTGCAAAATATGGTTTCAACTGTATAAGAGATTGTGTCTTACCCAAGACATGTCATTTTGATCTAGAAAGGGTCATATGCTCCACCTTTTGAACCAAAGTTCACCCTCTTAGCCATTAGGCTTAGACTCTGTAGATTGCATAGAACTCTTTGCACTTAAATTTTTCCCAAACTCAACACACATGCTGAACAGCCACTGGGGGTGAACTCCACCAAATTTTTGTCATTTTACTATCATTAAGATTTGTTGCTAAGTACTATTAGTTATTTTGCAATGCCTATCAAATCAAAATTACCTGAGAGTTTCTATCATAAACAATATCCCTAATCTTGTCTTTACCACACAAATGTGGTAAAGTGCTGTGGAGTTTGCTTGCAGGATGCTTGATACACGGTTTTAACTGATTGCTGTCTCCTGACAAGCTGGCAGGATCTTGGACACACCACAAGGCAACCCTACCATCTCGTGATCCTAAAAAAAGACAGTCCATTAATTAAATATCATAGTCCAGGAAACTCTCTTAGGCTACTCAAGTAAGAAGACAGCTCTACTCATGACTGTAAATGTTGACAACCAAAATGTAACAATGGCAGTTCAGAAAGAAACACACAAAATTACAGAAATTACTTGGACAAGGTTCATAATAAAAATATGAGTTGAGCTGAGTTTAAAATTTTTATCATCAATCATTCAAATTTAAAAAACATCTTTTCTGTCACACAATACATCACAATTATATTCTGGGAAATGTGGCCATCTAATTACAACCAATATTTGTCCTACAGTACTTTCCTTGTGCCAAATTTATTGAAAATTTACCTGTTGCTAAATGAAAATCGTCAATCCATTCCACAGAAAACACCCAGTCAGTGTGTCCCTTGGAGATAAATAAAATGAACAAATTATTTGAAAGGTTTTGGTTATATTTATCATGATGAAGAACAATAATATTTAACAGTATCATTGCTTGACTTGCTATGTTGTCACTCCCAAGGTGGATCATGATGTTTCATTGGCTCTGTGCTAGTCTTCACCAGCAAATAAGATTGCTTGGTTACGTGTCAACCTACAAAAGATGTTCTGCTGTATTTGGTTGGTTTTCAAAAGCTATAACTGGCACATTTTGGCCCAATCACCATTCAAAGCTGTTAATAGGTAATGTTGGTATTATCTATTAACAGCTTTGAATGGTAATGTTGGTATTGCAGAAATTAATGCTTAATTGCGAGTTGTAAAGGATGAGATCAGATGTCTGCATTTTAGGCGCCACCACACAGTAATCTCATGCATGGGAAATTAACGTCTCCTACCCCTAACCCTGCAGGAGACAGGGCCTACGGTTTATTCGTCCTTATCCAAGAAGACTAGAATATCTATCCATTTCTTGATAATATAGAAAGGTAGCAAATTCTCCTCAGTTATTTTAAAACCATGAGTATTGGTCCAGCTGGGGCTCGAACCCTCGACTTCCTGCACAACACAATCCAGCGCTCTAACCAATTAAGCTAACCGGGAGGCGGTTAATAGTCAGCCAATTACAATAGAACATCATAACTACAGGTGAAGCATAACCAGAAAACTTATCACCTGATGAAGACTAGAAATGGGTAATTGAAACACTGCAATTGGCTTTAGAAGTGACCTCATTGCAAAAAAAAGATGATATGACTTAATTGCAATCATCTTTACTAGTAGACACCACATAGGTGCAGGCACTTTTTGTGTAAGCTGATTGGCTACTTTACTCATAGTGCTATTCACCCTCATGCAGCCAAAGGGGCAAATTTGGGTGTCAACAATAAATTTCTGGACATCTTTTAGGTATAATGAGAGAAATGAAATATTTCTTTTTTGGTTTCTGTGTGGCATATCTAACAACTATTCACCAAAGCAGAGGTGGCTGGTAGAGGATATTTAGCAACCTGCATTACCAAACATGTTTACCAAGTCTCATAATTTGCCTCACTGCTTCACAGCTCAGTTAATATCCACCATTATTCAATTCCACTTCCATGAATAACTGGTACTTGTTATCATCATTATCATTGCCATTAACCGTCTGGCTGGCCTTGTAGGCAGACACAACAATGCAAAATCTATGATCTGGCTCATTTTTCATGCCCAGAATTGTCTGTTTTAATCGCACAAAATGAAAAAAGATAGTCAGAATACATACCTCTCCAACACAGACTGGATCAAATGTTGGCAGTCTGTAAACTGCTAAATGATTTGGATTTTGACCACTTGTGGCTAATAATGTTTTTGAAGGACTTATTTCAATGCTATGTATCCCACAGTTGAATTCAGGAACCTCACTGCCAGGACTACCCTCTAAAACTGGTATGGAGAGAATCCAATCCGAAAACATGTCCAACACAAGAAGCTAAAACCGAGAAATGAGCCTTAATAACAATGACTGACAAGACTGTGACAACCATAATAATTGCAAAAACAAAACCCCAAAAGGAGTCAGGCTTGAAAAGGTTCCAAACCCACAATGCTCCCAAGAAACTCATGCAGCACTCCAATTGAGCTTCACACATCAAGCTACATGGGAGCCAGACCTAACATAAGCAATATTGACTATGCTTCAAAAGAAGAATATTGTTTGAGTTTTAATTATGATATAGTCCTAAGAGCAACCGTAGTTTGTTTCTTTTCATTCGCTCCCATCACCAACTATGTTTTACGTGACAGGCTGAATAGTACATGTATTTTGATTGGTTTCATCTATGATCTACTGGAGGAAAGTCACATACTGATGTCACCATTAACAACATGCATTTTGCTTGTTTTATTATCTAAAACAAATAATAGATTTAATGTTGGCCTGGGTTTGTAAAGTAAAAGATCACAGAACATGCCAAAATGTGGTAAGAAAATCAGTGACACCTTTGGCTGCGCCATGTGTGCCACTGTTACGTTCTCAACATATTTTAATGAAATCCATTTCTGAACAGACACTCAGAAAGAAGGAATCTGGCAGCCTTTTATCAGAACTGATGTCTCAAGATAGTAACCAAAAGGAAATAGGGCACTAACAATAAAACATTGTGAGAGCTTATATTGATCAGAAAGAGTGCATCTTAAAATCCCCTGAATAATAATTCTTAAGGTGTAATAAGATTATTATTGAGAAAATTATCATCAGTTGGTTGTCTCACCTCATTTGATTTTGTGCCACAGACCACTTTCTTATAGTCCAACCATCGTGATGCAAATACTTTATCTGTTCTCCCTAATGAAATTTCCCTTTGTTTTAACAAGTTCGGGAACTGTCTTGTTTTAAGCTCAGTCACAAGCGACTCTTTTAGAGACTTAGGAGTGATTTGACGCGTCCTAACATGGTTGAATAGAGACATCTTACGACTAATAGATGGTTACCATAACAAATACATCGCCAAGTATCCAAAATGACGACTAACGACACACATTATGAACTTCTTTGTACGGTCTCTACAGATTCTGCAAAAAATATATTCTGATCCTTGTGGATACTGACGAAAATCTAGGCCTTAGGACTAACTCGTCAGCTCACCCAACCACGCCAATCTGACAATGATCAATTGGTGATCGAAGAAAAACAACAAAACTCACAACCTTGAAACGCTTCGCGAGAAAAAAACAGTCAACCGGTAAGGATAAATCCTTAGTTCGAAAACTCTACAAGGGTACAGATCTGCGTCAAGCAGAAGTTCTTTCCACACTGTTTCTACTGATTCGCAAAAGATGACTCGTAGAGCTCGTCAAAAACGGTTAGTGATTCAACCTGTACACAAACGAATATTTGAAGGTAATCAGGGAGAAGAACGCGTCAAACTGTCGACGCCAGCCTAATGAGACGTTAATAACACAGCATCAAGAATAAAAAAGGATTCAACGCCGGTGTATCTCAAACCCCATGACAGACTCAAAGGAAATCGCGAAATGTTTTTGCAAAACAATCAATATACGCCCTCGCACATTTAGCAGCCTCCGTTTTACAACCATGCGCAAATTGCTGTCTGTTTACTCTTCCCATTCTTTTGGAGGAAGACTGGGTACCTCTCTTCTCCTCTTCCTCCTCCCCCATAGCCCGAATTTCATTGTTGACCAAATGCAATCCAAATGTCTTGGTGATTAACTGAAAAAGAGCGTGAGAGTCAACAAGACACAGGAGTGAATGAAATAATCGCCAACAAACAATGAAAACTTTGAATTGCCTAAATGTACCTCCAATTTTGCGGTTTTGTAATGTCTAGAGACCGGGGAGAAAGGGGGGGCAGGTACTTTCCACAATGTTCGCGGCAGGCTTTTTGCGCAAAGGCGATTCATCTCTGACTTGAAGTAAATCATCAACTTCTGCGCGATGAATAAAGCTACGATGTGTCACAGACAGCTTTCAAGCGTGACGTTTAAGTCAATGTATTTCTGTTACCTTCTCCGTTTACCAAGCTCCAGGCACAGTTTGTAAAGTCTTCTGACGGCATGGAAAACAGATGTTGGAAGGGTCGATGATTTTTTTCGCTATTCGCAACTCGCAAGAAATGAGGATATTATTTCTCGCATTAATATGTCACCTTAAGAATTATTAGCATGACAAAAATTGAAGCTTTTCATTTACTTGAAGCAAGTTTGAATCCTCGGTGTAAAAGCAAAAAAAGAGCTAAGCCAGATTAACGACAGTGGATACTCTTTCAATACAATAACTAATACGCTACTGCTTTGAGAGCTGTTGGTATCAAATTTGACCACAAAGTCTCTTCGGCTTGCCGAGTGACATAAAGGTCACGTATCTGATTTCCTGTCAGGCGTTTGGGTTTCCTGACCTTCAGTGAAGCTATGCACAAATCAACATAGCTTAGAGCGTTTTGAGTCCACACCTTGGGAGTATTGGAGTGAGAAGAATCACTACAGTCTCTCAGAAAAAGATCTTTCTCTTGGGGGTCTTAAAAAACTTGCCTTGGAAGACAGACGCCTTTTGTGGCGGGTTATATACGCTACACGCAAAGTACAACTTACTATTGTTTGAAACCACAGAATGGCAACGGCTTGCCTAGTAGTTCTTCTCTCTGCGTTATCATTGCCGAGCAATTCTTTAACTCTTGCTCAGCAGCTCAATGCCACTGAGGGCCAAGGCCAAATTGCGGAAGGTATCCCTACAAGACGACAACAAATACTTACTGGGTAAGTCGAGTACTCTAACACATGCCTAACAAAACAATCCTTTCCCTAATTGATATTATTTAGATATAGAAATATTTTTTCACGTTCGTATCCCTGGAACTGCGTTTTGTCTGAACACTATGATGGATAAATATGCTCAACAGAAATCGAAGCTGGCCGGCGCGCATTCGTTAAGTAGTGTTCAAAGTTCTTTACGCGCTCTTGTAACATACTTTCAGTGCTCGCATCGCCAAACTCATAGCATGTGCTTATACTTTCGTTTGGGGTGCTACATCTAAACCATAAGCGAACGCTAGTGGTATATTTGTTATTAACCTAGAAACTTGCGCGGGGATTTCTAGTTATCAAGGCTCGATTTATAGAAGTTTTATAATAGATGATAGATTTTGCTAGGATGTGAAATCATGTTAATTGATCGTGAGTTCATCAAATGTCGATTGGTTTCATCCCTGATGGCTTCATTTAATAACAATGAAATCCAATGATACGTTGACGATTCTTTTAGGCCAAATGTGTGCGGCGGTCGAATCAATCCTCAGTGCTGTCCCGGATGGCAACAAAGGGCTTCCGTTGGGCTTTGCATAGTGCGTAAGTATCCAACCTCTTTGCTGGTGAGAAAAATATTCTTCCACTTAAAAACTCTGACTGAGATAAGTTTGGTAACGTAAACAAAATTTTTTCAGGTTTTTTTCGTCCTTTTCCTGGTATAATCTTGTCAGTTATGTGCGTGATATGTTAAGTTGCGTTATAAAATCAAGTCTTTATATCGTGCTTATGAATTCCTGATAACCGCGGTGAAAATTGCGTCCCTTCTTCACTCTAGTTTACTATGTGAAGGATTTTTTTAAAGGTCTAATTTATGATTAAGCTATCCAAGGCTTGTGAGGGAGTGTTAACGAACATATAACTAATTTTCTAGAAAAGTGTAAAGATGGTCTAGAATGTAATCAAAGAACATTTTGTATATCGTCAGAAATTCATATTTTTGCTCATGAGTTAAGGTCAAGGTCTTTCTGGGTTTGTATTTTTATGACGCACATGGAGAGAGAGGGGAGAGGTAGGCAGTCATCCCAGTTTTAACCCGTTCCTATCCTTTAAGACCGACATTTTGAAATAAAATCTGCGCGCCTCGCACGTTTTCAAATTTGGCGAAAAAATTATTGGGAACACAATGAGAACACTTTTAGCTTCCTTTTCCCCTACCCATCACGCTTCGCGTTCCTATACTGCCCTCGTCGGTTGTCTGCGTCCAGAAAGCGACAAACCATGAAGATAATCGAATCAAAGCCTGTCTAAATTTTGTCATAATTCTAATATCTTGGAGTATCCCCATCGTTATGGCCAGAGAAACGATTGAATCACATACGAGCAGATTTAGTTCTTCCGCCCGTCTGAAATATTGTCAAAATAGCATCAGGAAATATTCTTCAGAGTTGAATCAATTCAGCAAAAGCTGTGGGGAAAATCGGCCGCATTGAAAACGTATGGGAGTTATTTTATGGCACGGCATTCGCAGACTTAAATTTAGAAATAGTTAACTGTTTTTGTTTTACCCATATTTTATAATTTCCCTCTTGATAAGGCATCCTGTGAACGGAAGTATTTTGACCGTCAAGTTGCCACCTCATCCGTTTAATGTTTCAAACTAAGTCACAGATGGTGTAGCGTCATGCATCCTCGATTGATTTTAAGCTTAATCGATTTTCTCCTCGGTCATGTTTAGTTAACCGAATTGGTAAACGCTCATCGTGCCTCCCAAGTAACGAAGAACCCCCGGTTCCAACTTCCTCCTCCTAAGTATTTTAAACTGTAATTATAGTTAAAAATACAAAAAAGGTAAAAGGAGAAAGAAAACCAATACGTAAGTAAAAGAAACATACATGTGACGTATCTTGGTGTCCGTGTTTCAGCGATGTGCAGGTATGGCTGCGGGACAGGTGTGTGTTTTAGACCTGGCGTCTGCCGTTGTCCTAACGGTGCATATAGTCCATCGTGCAGTGGGGTCCAGGTACAAGGTAAGTTAATCAGCTTACTCGCGGCAGCTGTCATTAAGATTGAAGCCGAGAAAGTGTCTTCTCCGCATCAACCTTTTTACCTTCTAGTTATTCTTTCTCAGCTAGTGGCCGTTTCTCAAATTTCCAGCTAACGGAGCCGAAGCCATTGTTAGAGATCTCAGCGTAAGAAATATTTGTGTGAGGGTCAGTGATTAAACCAGCGCAGGCTATTTCGTTCCCTAAAAATGATTGATCTGTTGTTTGAATTTCAAAACCATCCACATTTCGATCTCGAATGTAAACAAAGAAGAGGCCCCTGTTACTTTTTATAAAGCATTTCTCAGAAATGTGCTCAACCTTAAAAATGATAAATTCGTGTCTAGGTACTTTCAAGCAAACTTTATCTCCAAATCATAGTTTGATTGTAAGTTTTTTCCTTGAAATTCATTCAGGTGGACAATGCAACGTATTGTGTTTTAATGGTGGAACTTGCAACAAAGATAACTGCACCTGTAAAAATGGATTCACTGGAAAGTTCTGTCAGTCACGTATGTAAATCCTATCTTCAGTTCTCGATTTATGTTATACTATTTGTTTGTGAGAGACAAGCTGGCCCAACCTCGTTACCATGGCCTTTTCTCTTACTTGGGGATAGGGTGGGTTAAAGACCAAGGGAAATGGCCATGAGAACGAGGTTGACTTTGGCCCAAACGTTAATGCGATCGACTCCGGAGTATAAATGATGCCGGTGAAGTGTTATGGAAGCCTGATGAAATACATATATCTAATTAGACATTTTGTTGTGTAGTAACGCTGAGTATTTTTACCTGTTGTTTGTATTTTGACTCGCCCTACGGGCTCGTCAAAATACGGCACAACTCGTAAAAATACTCAGCGATACTACATAACAAAACGTTTAATAAGATATTTATTATCCAACACGCCAAATTGCTTTTACAGTGCGGGCGAATTTTGCGGATATTTCTGGAGTACAAATATCGCGTGATATTTGTACTCGTCTCGCGCGTTATTTGTACTCTACGAAGCACATTCGGATAATAATAGGGGGTTACCTTGCGATATACAGGCATCCTCTGGCATTGAGATTAGTAATACTACCTGCACCGTTTCGTCGCTTCACGCAATGGAAACTGGGTTTCTGGGCCGGATGGGCCTCTTGGCTCCGATAGAGAATTTTAATTTTTTTTTGTGAAGGGAATTAAAACATTGTAAAGAGTAACTATTCTTTGCTCCTTTATCGTGGTTCTTTGCGGAAATGTAGTAAACCCGACTGTACGTCACGCTTGAACGCATAGAATAAAATTCACATTTGTACATGGAGTTGTTTATCGTGGCATATCAGTCTGCGACCTTATCTCTGCAATTTACGTCGTAGGGGGAAAAGAAATATTTCGCTTCCAGGCCTAAGCCCTTGTCTTAAACCCAGGACTGTCTTTTTTTTTCTTTTCCAGCCATTTGTCAGGAACAGTGTCTCAATGGAGGTCGTTGTGTTGGACCTGACAAGTGCGCATGTCCTTACGGATTTACTGGAAACCGCTGCCAGCAAGGTACCAACTTGACACGAACAACTTAGATACATAGATTAGTTTTAAAACGAAGATTGATTTCATCCATAAAATGAATCGCTTTCTACAAAGAGGTGAAGTTAGCAAAACAATCCATTAAACAGACGTGTTCTAAATTGGAATGAAGAGTAGTCTCTTCTTAAGTTTTCACCATCAGATGTTTGCAACAAATTTTCAACTGTTCTTACCATTTCTGAGGTATGATTTCCTTGGCTAATTTCCAAAAAACTTACTATAACTTGTTTATTCTCAAGATTATAGGGTTGGTCCTTGTTACACCAAAGTTAGGAACCGAATGTGTCACAACCAGTTACGGGGTGTGGTCTGCACAAGACTCACGTGCTGTGCAACTATTGGACAAGCGTGGGGCAACCCGTGTGAACGCTGCCCTGGGAAACCAGGTACGTTGTAATCTTCACTCTGTGCAGCCTGACTCTTTAGTGGAGGGCCTAAGCCAGAACCCTCCACTAACTTTTGAGATAAAACTCAAGTTTGTATGGAACCAAATTTGACGAGTTCTCTGTCATTGAAGTTGAACTTAATAACTCCATTGCAAATACATTGAAGTTCCCTTCTGGAGCATTTGCTCTGCTAAGCTATTAAAAAGGAAGTGAGAAACTTTTCTGAGTAAACCAAAAAAATGCCTTACTTTGATGAATGGCTAACTATTCCTTACAAGGCCTCAGTGCAAATATTGCTATCAGCTCTCTCTTGCATGTTATTTGAATCTAGGTATTAACCTTAGGTGCTCCGATCATTAAAGAGTTTTTTTGTTAACTCTTAGGTGTCTACGTGTTAAAATAAATTACTTACTTACTTCAAACGTATGTGCACGATCCTCGAAGTAAAATCAGACCTGAAAAAATTCAGGCCTGTACGGGATTCGAACCACTGACCTCTCCGATACTAGTGCAGCGCTCTAACAATTGAGATAACAAGCCAACTGGGAGCAGTTTATCAAATAAGCCCGACATAAACCTGTAAGATGATAAATCAAATGCAACGAATATATTAAATTCATATATCTGAACTGCGGTTATAGAAACGTATGGGCACGATCCTTGCAGTAAAGAACACTATTTAAGCAATAGTGAAAATCAGGTCTGAAAAAATTCAGGCCTGTACGGTATTCGAACCGCTGACCTCTGCGATACTGGTGCAGCGCTCTAACAATTGAGATAACGAGCGAACTGGGAGGAGTTCATCAAATAAGTCCGGCAGAAACTCGTAAGATGATACTTACTTTACTTACTTACTTACTTACTTAGGGGTCCTTCGAGTAGTAAGACTGAGTACAAAACTCGATCTAACTTGTCGTTTAAGCATATCAGTTTAATTTTTGTGCATAAAGCTTACCCACATGGTACAATGATTGCGATCATAATTTGATGTTAAATTTTAGTTGCTTTCTCTCTTTTTTATAGAGCCTTGTGATCGAGGATTTCTCCCAAATTTTCGGAGCAAGGCATGCCAAGGTATTTTATTCTCGTTTCATGAGAAATGTTGTTGCGCAATGATGATTAATTTCATCATGAAATGAGAAACCTTACGTTATCTTATGCTTTTTTTTCTTCAGACATTGATGAGTGTAAAGCTATCCCAAAGATCTGTTCGGGCGGAAGATGTATCAACAACATTGGGAGCTACCGCTGTGAATGTCCCGCGGGCAAAAAACTAAACACGGACTCTCAGAAATGCATCGGTAGGTGTAATTTGCCTTGGAATGCCTCTTGAAATAACGATAGAATGGAAATCAACTTTTCGGGCACAAATTAATTTCTTTTCGCCGATTGCTTTCGAACCTTGAAGGTGAATCGTAAATGTCATCTACATACTAAAATTGTGTTTGACCGCTATTTGATAATACGTTTCTTAAGCCGATAGAAACACTGCATAGATCTAGAATTTACAACTTTATTCGTTCCTTTCGTTTGTTATTCTCTCCATTCGAAAACACAAAAGCCTTAAATGTGATATCATACCTAGACTCGGTTACTGACCGGCATTGTTTTATTCCAGACATGGACGAGTGCACCGAGATCCCGGGCATCTGTGCAAACGGCCGGTGCGAGAACACAGACGGTAGTTTTCGATGTGTTTGCAAAGAAGGATTCATTCTAAACGAGGACAAAAGCTTTTGTATAAGTAAGCTGTTGTTTCACACTTTGAGACAGTCCTTACATAGTTCTCCTGAAACACTGCTTCTACTACTCCAAGGAGATTCCCGCCAATTGTGGATTTTATAATTTGAGGATGATAACAAAATGTGTTTATTTGAGGCTTTCTTTCATTTTCTCAGGCAAAAAATCCGGGTATTGTTATCAACGAGTGGTGAATAACTACTGTGTTGACCAGTCGTCTTCAAACAGAACTAAACATGGCTGTTGTTGCTCCAAAGAGAGTCCTGCTGGGTGGGGACCGCTCTGTGAACGATGTCCTTCCCAACAAACACGTGAGTTGCACGTGACTAACTCTAAATCGTTCTTCATCGTGGTGAACTCATTTTTCCCTAAATGGAACGTGTCACTCTTTGGCGAATTCATGACTTGGACACGTATTAAGCTTTAACGCAACGTTTACTGTTTAAGTGATCAGATTTTCCAATATCATTCCCCGCCTTTTTCTCTAGAAAAGCGCCGCAATCGATAATATAATTCTTTTCTCTATTATTTGTAGCGGAATACTCAGAATTGTGTCCAAACGTTTCTATTCCAGGTAAGTTACAACCCGAAAGCTGAAAATGATAAAATCCGTTGTTATGTTATGATCTATTTTAAAAGAATCGTTACTTCCTCACAAATCTTTTTTATTAAATTCGATTAAGTCTGGGGTGTGAATTTCCCTGCACGCGTATTGTAGGACAGTTGGTGTCCAAACCGCGCGAATTATGGTTGTTTTGCGCAATCTTCACTCTTGCTCACATTTGCCTTTCTGTTCCTTTCTGCCATGTATGGACTAATGTTTGCCAAATGCCCTTCTTGATGGCTATAATTAAAGTTATTGACCGTTCTTGTCACACACGATCGTCTTTATACTTAAGATTTCTCTGATTTCTCAATCACTCCTCAATGAGATTCGTAAACGTATGAACAAAGGCTCGTCAGCGAGTGAGCTAGCACTAGTAGTCCTCGGTTGCAGAATTATCCTCTACTTTTAGTTTGGCAAAAGTGCTCCATGGAATCGATACTGCATACTGACATAAACTACTTTTTATTCTAATTTGTCCCCTGGGAGTGGACGAGTGTAAAAGGCAAGGGGACCCTTGTCCTAATGGCAGATGCATCAACGTTCCAAGTGGTTTCCTCTGCTTGTGTAATACAGGATATGTTCTCGGACGAGACAATAAGTGTCTTGGTAAGTGTGTCGCAAGAATTAATCCCTCTCTGTTTTAAACCAAGGAGCAATGAATTTTAGCTCTGTATCAGGGGAGACTTGCTGTCTCCGGATACGACCAGGTATATCCCTTTGCCAGATACTAGAGGCCTTTGTAGGAAAAAACCTTACCCCCAAAGTGTTTGGTGAAACACTATGGGTGCTAAAATCTCAAAAGGTCGCGGCGAGCATGGATATAGTGGATATCAGGGATTTATGGATATTAGTTTTGGATGTAGTCTTGACCATTAGGGTTACGAGTGTCGAATGAGCCCTGGAGAAGTTTATACGCATTACAAAAAAATTTGCCCTTTTCTGTAAATCTTACTGTCCTATGAAACTGAGAAAGGAATAACCATCTTTTAAATGTTTGTGTCAGTTGAAATGGTCGATAGGTTTCTGTTGATACAATTCATGATTTCCACGTTTCCTCGATGGCTGAAAATTGTTGTTTTGCAGATAAAGACGAGTGTTCAGCGGATTCGCGGCTGTGTAGAAATGGGCGTTGTATTAATATGGAAGGTAGTTACAGATGCGAGTGTAACCCTGGCTTCCAAGTCTCTTCTGATGGAAAAAGGTGTTCTCGAGGTTAGTCTGTGGCAACTGTTCGAACATCTCCTCGCACGAAAATCTCTATAACTCTAAAACTTGGTGCCTATCCAGGAAGTGGTTACCTTTGAAAAAGATTTTATACCTTTTTTTAAAAAAAAGTCGCTTATTTCCTAGGAGTCGATCCATGCTCGCAGTCAGGTGTTTGTGAAAATGGCGCTTGTGTGAACACAAGAGATGGGTTCACTTGTCAATGTCGAGGCGGATACGCATTGACCTCTGACAAAAGAACATGCACAGGTGAACACGTTTTTATTTTATTCGAGTTAACCATTTTTGAGCTGTAGAGGAACGAGAATAAAACTCGTCACTCGTCACTCGTCAACCTTTGTTATAAGTTACCACTTTAGAAGGAAGAAGGACTCTTGTGGAATTCCTACTCATGTTTAGCGGAAATCAGTGTAAGACATAGAGATCATTCCAATTAAAATTTGCAGTGATCGCATCGTATTCCTATGACATCGTTCCATTGTCGTTGTTACGATATTTGTTTTGTAGCCAGACTTACTCACACGTGGCAATTGAACAGCTTTTGACCTGTCAGTTAAATCTTAATGGTAGCCACTCCCTTTTGGCAGATATCGATGAGTGTAAGTCCCAGTCCGTCTGCAGTAACGGCCAGTGTACTAACTACCCCGGAGGTTATGAATGCTCATGTGCTACTGGGTTTGAACCAAGCTCTGACATGCGCCATTGTAACGGTGAGTATATCTCCAGGATCTCTGAGAGTAGCAATCCTTCTAAAATATATGTATATATATATATTTTGCCAAATGATTGGTTAAAATATGGAAACAAAGTTTAGATATGTCATTGTTTTTGTTCCACAGACATAGACGAATGTCGTACCCCGGGACTCTGTGACAATGGAACGTGCGTGAACAATCGTGGATCATACCGCTGTACATGCAACAAAGGGTTCCAAAGTACAACAGATCCAAGAGTTTGCAGGGGTAGTTACTTGCGTCATCTTAGTTTTGAAATATTTCTTAGTTAAGGTTTTGTTAAAATTTCATATTCCATAGCGATTTATCCTGTATTTAGAGAAATTAATCGTGAAACTTACTTCCACTCGGAGGGAAAAAACTGTACCATGAACGATGAGGCCGGAAAAAGGATCAAAATTCCGCTAAAGCTGAAAGACGTCGAGACGCCATGAGTTTGGGCACTTCAATATAATATAAGATAACATGAGTAGTATATTAGTTAGAATGAACTGTTAAAGTAATCTGTTTAGTGTTATATCATTTCAGACATCAATGAGTGCCTCCAGAATAATATTTGTATGAATGGTCGCTGTGTGAATGAACCAGGTAGCTTTAAATGCGTTTGTGAACGAGGTTTCACCCCAAGCGCTGACGGCAAAGCTTGCATAGGTAAGATCACGTGCAGTTCTTACTCAATCAGATGCGGAAGAAAAGATAAGGTTCTCCGTTGCTTACATCAATTTTATACAAAACTACCAGACGTAATCGGAGCACAGGCTAGAGCTTCTATTCTGCATCTTTGAAAGGTCGGGAAGAGCAATGATGCTTCATGATACTTCATTGCAAAGTCCCAGACTCGGAATGGTTAGTTAACATGATGATTGAGCAGGATTTCAATTAAGTTGTATGGTACATTTGAAATCAGAAAAAAAAATTAAAGCCTTCGCACAGACACCTACAAGACCGGAAGAGTTTGGCAGCCATTCCTTTTTCTCCTATATGCCTTCGGGCGGGCCAGAAATCAACCTCCATCCCCTGGTCAAGAAGAGAGTCCCCAGAAAAGAAGTTAAATGAATTTAATATCAATTGAAGGCCGAATTTCAAAACATATTTGTCTAAAAATGTAAAAAGATTTACAACTTTGCCGTCCTTGTAATTGATTTAGATACCACCCTTGGTCGCTGCTACGCTAAAGTGGAGAGCAGCCGATGTTCCGAGCCCCTGATGAGATTTCTTACGCTCTCTCAGTGTTGCTGTGGAATGGAGAATGGTGGCCAGCGAGGGTGGGATGATCCATGTACGCCGTGCCCTCTAAAGGGCACAGGTAGGATTGGTTTACTTTTTTCTTCATTATTACATATAAAAAAGTATATTGGAGTAAAATTTTAGCAGTCGCATTTCCACAAGGTTGCTTTCGCCCTCCGTTTCCAGGCTAAAATCAGAATTTGGAGTTTTCATTTTTTGTAGAAGGGGTAAATTAATAATGCTGTGTTTGATTTTGTTCTGTTTTGTTTACAGAAAGTTACGAACGAGTGTGTTGTAAAGGACCCGGAATGACTTGCGGTGGAGATGGTAAGGCCACCTGAATGTGCAATTTCGTTGGTAAATTAAGTGAAATGTATGGAGGCACATAAAGGACCTTCCAGTAAGGGTGGCGCATGGAGGGGGGGGGAGGGAGGGGAGAATTCTCACACTTTGTTATTATGGCATTTGGAGTTATATGAACATGATTTAATGAATAGGATCTACTAGTAAGGGAGGCGGGGGGGAGGGGAGGGGGAAGTCCTCATACTGGGGTAGTATTATGGCATTTGGAGGTATATCGTTGTTTTCTAATAAAAATTTTAACTTTTGACTGAGAAAAGGAGGTGTGGTAAAACCCATCTTGCTTATTCATTTTTCTAGCAATGATATAGATTTAGTTTGGGGAAAACATCTGTTCTGTAAATGTTATGCTATTGAAAACTGACTCAGTTATAGCTTCGCTTATTCCATTGATAGCGCAGAGAAAATTAACCTTTGTTGTGATATTTTGATCATTTCTGTAGATGTTGATGAATGTGTGAATAATGCTGGAATGAAGACAAATGTGTGTACCAATGGACAGTGTCAAAACACAATGAAGGATTATATCTGTGTTTGCAATCCAGGCTACCGCAGCGATGTTACTAAAAAGCTATGCAATGGTTAGAGATAAACTGTTCGTGCGTGTTATATGCATCGGATAGACTAAATTTAGTACTTAAGCAGTTCTTTCCTTGAAGACAAAAAGCAAGGCAACTGACAGATAAAGACATGAAGATGAATATCTAGCAGAATTTTGCGTAGAGATATGGTCAGATAGTAACTGCATTAGTCGATAATGGAAACACCATTGCATAGGCATTAGGGACACTACACGTTCGATAATGGAAACACCATTGCATAGGCATTAGGGACACTGCACGTTCTTACAAATAGCCACCTGACTAGTTCCTGAAAATGTTCTCTTTTGTTAAATTATGCCAGATGAATCTATAAAAAACAGTATTGCTAGCTGTGCCATCAAAATCATTAGGTCCCTCAAATCTTTTTTTTTTTTTTGTTTTTACTTAGATATCGACGAGTGCAGAGAAGATCGACGGCTTTGCCTAAATGGAATCTGTCAAAACTTACCCGGAACTTTCTCCTGTGATTGCCCCAAAGGATACTCCTTAAACACCCAATCGACAACCTGCGAAGGTATGAGATTTGTTTGTGCAAGTTCAATGTTCTTCCCTTTTTCCTATAATACACAAGCTTTTCGATCCTTTCCGTTGTAGCAATGAAAATGTCGTCATGAGTAAAATCAAGCTCTACATCTACGTTTCACTTCAAAACGATCCAGAGACAAGCACTATCTTTTCGCAGCCTCCGCTCATTTCATTCAAACGCGACAAAAACATAGGAAATTTTTTGGTCAGAAGTTCTTTTCAGACTAATGACCAACCAGGCACTTTTAAATGCGCTCGTGCACGATGCAAAACGTGTCCTTTCATTCACAACACTGATAAAATATCGGGACCTAAACGATCCATTAAGATCACCGATCACTTCACGTGCACCTCCGCCAATGTAATCTATTGCATAACTTGCACTTATTGCAAAAAGATATACATCGGCGAAACAGGCAGAAGACTAGGTGACCGATTCCGAGAACACCTTCGAGACGTGGAAAGGAATGACAAGGACACATCGAAACCAGTCGCTAGACATTTTAATTTACCTAATCATTCTAAGCAACATATGGCAATCTGCGGTCTTTCCTTACACTTAGGTAGCACGGAAAGCCGTAAAACTCTTGAACAAAAGCTCATCTTTCAAACCGGCAGTCTAAATCCCACAGGGATCAACGAACGCTTTTCATTCCACTAATTTATTC